ACGATCGGAACAAATGGTGGCTGATGAATGCCGATTGGTATGATTATTGCGGCACCAGGTCATATAATGGTAATCTCAATGGCAGTGATTCGCGTTATAAAGCAATAATATGTAAATTTAATAACAATGACGATGATTTGCATCTTATTTGAGATTTTTTATGTTACTTTCGCCACGATTTTAAAAGAAAATTCAAGCAAAGACAAAACTCAACTTTCGAATACCAATGTCATTTATCAAAAAATTTCACTTCCAAGTCATTTATTAAGTCTCAAATATATCGGTCGCTGTTACGGAAAAAAAAAAGAGAAAACGTTTATTAAAATGAAATGTATCTCAGGTAATTGTTGAAGCGAATTAAATTATCGCGAGTGGCTACTTTGCGCCTTGAGAGAAGGGAGAGAGGGGAGAAAGAGAGAGGGAACGGAGAGATGCAGCGGAGCCACGTCGGGTTGAGTACTTTGCGAATGAATGAATGTATATTTTATTAGCTGAGCCGCGCTTAAAAAATGCCGAAATGAAGCGATAACACGAGGACGAAAAATCGGGTCGCTAATGGGTTACACACGGCTCTCTCGCTGAAACTCGCGTGTCACCTCCCTCACGAATAGTTTAATATCGTAGAAGCATATTGACCTAGATCCTGACACGTGAATCGCCAACGTGATCGACCCTCTTCACAGAGCGCAAACAGTCGCGAGGGGTTCGTAGCTCTCGAACGATCAATGGAGAGAGGCGCGCGTTCTCGAGTCATCGATCGATTGTGACGAAATCGAAAAATATGCTGAGATTGTTGTATCGGGTGATACACACCGCACGTGTGTCGGGTTGTTTTTGCAACGAGGTACACTTCGTCGATATTGAATCTGGGTTTTTACGACACTCGTCGACGAATTTTCTCCTTATATAAAATAAATTGAACGCGAATTTTCATCTAAATCGCAATATCCGATATACGCTCTTAATCGCACCGGAAGGTTACGGACGTTGCGCAGGTCGCGCCAAAGATAGCGGTCGCGGTTGCGTTATACTCGTGTCACTATTTTTGACAGGAGCATGTTCATCGCGCGCTGACAACGCGGAAGCGCGCCTTAGTTAATTTAATTTAATGTTATTATTATACTGGGACCCGCGACAATTATCCGCCGCGAATGCGGCCGCGTCATTTGTTCCGAAACTTTGGTTCAATTTCCGCCGTCTCCTCATTATTGCAATATTATCATAAAAATTGAGAGAGAGAGAGAGAGAGAGAGAGAGAGAGCAAGTGTTAAAAATATGTTTATCTTTTTTGGAGTATCGAGATCAATTTTCAAAATTCTCGATAGCAGATGTCCTGGCTATTTCTAAGGGGAAAAAAAAAAAAAAAAATTCATCAACTTTCCAAATTGTTTTCCACGAAAATAATTTTAACATTCTGCCAATGGTGATTCGTTGATTAACGATTTTCGCGATATTTTCTCTATCTTAATTTCCTTTTTTCCCTTTCCTACGTTGCGGCTTAGCAACATCGTTACGGATTTGATACGCCACCGTGACGGAATGGCGTACGCTCTCAAGGACATAATGTAATTTCGTATCCTGATGGATTATCTGCCAGATATATCGTTGCTCATTCTCGAGTCGCAAGTAGGTGACAGTAGGCGTAAGTAGGCGAGAGTAATGATTCATTCTCTTCTACTTTGGTTGACAATATTTCGTAAACAGCGCCCTAGACTCGTCATTTATTACACTGCTTACGTTTCGGGCAGAGTTGTATGCAATTCGGCGAATTTTAAATTTAATCATCCGAATCCGCGCGACGTCAGTTTTCGCATAAGAGATCACTAAAAAGACTCGGAAACACACACACACACACACACACACACACACAGAGAGAGAGAGAGAGAGAGAGAGAGAGAGAGAGAAAGAAAGAGGAGAGGGAGGGAGAGAAAATTTCAATTTGCATCATCGAAGAAAATAATGATTATCAAGTTGATATTATTTTCGCACGGGATAAGTCATCGAGAAAAAATCGCGATATTTATAGATGAAACGAGACGTGTTATGTACGAGGACTTGCGATAATTATGAAATTTACATAAAGAGAACGATTTAGTTGAATCTAACAAATGCTTATTTGGAATAGTCGAGATAAATTTTTTGATTGATCGAACAAAATTTTGTTTGACAAAATGCAACAAAAACATTTCGTTGGAACTAAGCTGCAACAAAATATTTTTGTTGCGTCGAACAAAATTTCGTTCGATCAATCAAAAAATTTATTTGGACTATTCCAAATAAGCATTAGTTAAATTCAATTAAATCGTTCTCTCTGTGTATTCAAGAAATTAATAATTCGGTCATGCATACACACACACACACACACACACATATATACACGCACCGTTTTCTGCGGTATATCGATTAAAAATTATGCAAGCGTTATGCAAGTTCAAGGCGGTGTAACGGTTTATCTCGCGTTCTCTCCGGTGCATGTGGATTACACGGCGATACACGATCCCATCCTGTGCCGTTACATAAATCGCCTCTCGCTCGGCGAGCCTCGGCGAAAGAAACGTCCGTTCGACGAGTGCGCGCGAGCCGTAATGGTATTCTCCCGTCGCGATTAAGGATCGAAAAGCATTCTCTCCCAATCGAATTACGCTCTCCATCTCTCTCCGCCTACACCTCCCGTGATCGCATTAGCGCACGCTGCGGCAGTAGCAACATCAGCAACGATAGCGTGGCTACGTATATACATGCCGCGCGTAGTGTGCGCGCGTCCGGCGTGCGTTAGTAGTTAGCACGTACGTAAATCAAACGCTCGCCAAAAATGCGGTGCATATAATAAGATTTTGCGAGTACAGTGCGCACACTCATGGTCACTGAATTGCGTCGACGCGCGAGCGGAGCGAGCGATACAGCACACTCGTCTGAACGACGAGCTGAAAATAATATGATCGCGCGCGAAAATATAACGGCGATATTTTTCCAACGCGCGCGCTGCACGCAGCGACGTACGGCTCTCTCTCTCTCTCTCTTTCTCTCTCTCTCTCTCTCTCTCTCACGCGCGCGCTTTCACGCTCCGCATTTTGTCGCGTTTTAATCGAGAATTCGAGGGGCGAGGGCGGGAGGAGAGGGAGGGACCGCAGGGTTGGCAAATCGAATATACAGGGTCGATCGGAGGGATGAGGGAGGCAGGCGGTCCCTCCCATGTCATGGATTTAAAGCCCGCTTCAGACGAGCGGTGTAATTCGCCGGGTAACAGAGAGGGAATACGAGATACGCCGCGTCACAGGCGTGTGACGATCAAAAGACGACAGCTGTCAGGTCTGCGCTAAAATAGTCAAAACACGGTAAGTGGGTTAACGGGCACTGGAATTCGCCACTGAGAACTACCGTGACGGTCAGCGCAGCTGGAGGAGAGGAGAGAGAGAGAGGGGGGAGGGAGACACACAACACACCCGGTACCGTGTAAATATCCTTTTAACACACCGCCTACACCAACACGCAGCCTCTGTCTCCTCTCGCACGCCGAGAGAGAGAGAGAGAGAGAGAGAGAGAGAGAGAGAGAGAGAGAGAGAGAGAGAGAGAGAGAGAGGAGCACTCGGAAAGAGAAGAGGAGAAAAAACAGCCAGACCGCTTGAATATTCTTTCTCTTTCTCTCGCGGTTTTGCGTTTTTACGTTGCATTTCGTCACTCGGCCCCAGAAGGACGTACCAACTGGAATGAATAAAAGACACCGTGAGAGGCACTCGGGCGACCCCACCCCCGTGACCCGATCGTTGGATCCCTCGGAGTAGTCGTCGAGTCAATTTTGCTGCGCGATGCTCTCGACGACGATGGGTCACTGTTTTCTCTCTTCCTCGTTCGCGTCATGAACGCGAGCGTGTCTGGTGCAAACTGTTAAAATGAACAATTAAAGGGGGGAGGAGGTGTCTCACCGGAAAAGAGCTCTCTCTCTCTCTCTTTCTCTCTCTCGCCCGCACCCTCGTCTCACGCCACCCGCACCCTCGTCGTCAGAGCACCCAGCGGCGCTTGCACGCAGACGCACGGGGGATGGGTGAGGGATAGCAGCAGTGAGGGAGGAGGGACAGAGGGACGCGAGAGAAGGAGGGAGGAAGATAGACAGCAGGCTCCATATTAGCCGCACTATGCTGCACTTGCTGCACCCGAAGAGAAATAATAAATGAAATGAAACGAAACGAAAGGAGACACGACCCTTTGATAAATGCCGCGAGAAAATGACATGATGAACGTGTATATAACGCGATGATTACATACGATGATTATACATATATTATTTGCGTCAAGATATTCATATTCATGTGCATCATTTTTCATCACAATGGCAGGAAGAGACGGGAAAAGACGAGCGAGACGGCGACAGAGCGCGCGAATCTTGCCGCCGAACCGCGTATAAATCGCGCAGAGAACGAGCCGCGACAAGACTCCGATAAAGCGCGGCATGCGATAATGATCCTTACGTGGATTCGCGGATCCGCGAAACGCCACGGTCGGCGTAAGGTCTTTTTTCGCGTGCGACGTGGAAGATCGAAGCCGTCGCGCGGCAGCGCGCTTGGCGCTGCTGATCGCTAGGAAGAAGATAAACGCGGTCGCTCTTATCCCTTCCTTGGCGACACCACGCGCTGGTCTCGATCCCCCGGATCTGACCAGGAAATCCCTCGCGAAGCCATGCAAAGAAGAAACAGCAGACAGCAGAGACAGCGATAGACCGCGCGATCCGCGTCAATCGGCACTCCCGCACGTCCTCGACATCCAGAGCTCCTCCCAGCTCCGTATAGATTCGGTGGGACCATCGTGAGATATCGGTGATATCAGTTATCATGCGTTCAAGAATACGCGCTCCAAGTTTGATTTCCAAGACGGTGGGGGGGTGCCGGCGACGGGTCAATATAGAAGAGAGAGAGGTTATGGCATATACCACGTCCGCACAGCACACCGCACGAGCGAGCAGCGTGCGCGGTGATGCTGTTTTTCTCTTCTCAGGGTATACTTACTGCTAATTTTCATGCCTCCCAAGGGTGGGTTCGTGGGCGGCTTGTTGCCTTCGGCGAAGGAGGTGGTCCTCGGTCGTCCGCTCATCCTGAGGCTGTCTCGACCGCCACCGCCTTCTCCTCCTCGGCTATTGTCGCCCGGCTCGTCGTCGTTGGCCGCCTCCTCGGCCGGCACCGGCAGTAGCACTTTCTCCTCCTCCTCCTCCCCCTCCTACGCCACCGCGCGTACGTGCACGTCAAAAAGCAGCCCCTAGTCGCGGCGGCGGTGGCGGTGGTGCTGATAGTGCTGGCGCTCCTCGTCGTCGACGTCGTCGTCGTCGTCGTCAACACCACCTCGCACATCAATGACGGAACCGCACACCGCGATTATCACATCGCACGAGGAGCGCGCGCGATCCGCTCGCGCTGCTCACCGCGGCGACACACGCACGCACGCACCGTAACCGCACGCGCGCGTACGCACAGACGTACGCACGGCGCGCAGCTAATTCACTCTTTCTCCTTTTCACACTCTCTTCTTTTTCTTCTTCCTTCGCTGTTTCCGCCGCCGATTCTTTCACTCTGCCTCACTTTCCCCCTTTTCTCCCTTCACGCGTTCGTGTGTTTCTATCTTATCCGCGTCCTCTGCGTTACGTCGCCACGGCCGCGCGACGGCTCGATCGACGGTCGGCTGGAAGAAGAGTAAAGAGGAAGAATGAAGGAACAACCGGAGAGGACAGAGAGAAAGAGAGAGCGCGAGAGAGGGGTGACGGGACGGGGCTGGATCAAGGTGGCGCGGGCGGCGGAAAGGGGTGGGAGTGACGAAAAGGGAGAAATAACGCGAAATCGGAAACGCGACACACCGCGTAGCCGCTGCGATCTTCACGGCCGTATCCTCCTCTCCGTGATCCTTGTGGGCGATTTCTTTTCCCGGAGCTTGCCGCCTTGTCGTCGTCGTCTCCTTTCTGCTCCGACGATCCGCTCGAGAGAGAGCGCGCGCGGCGCCGCTCGGCTCTCCTCAGTCAGTCACTCACTCACTCACTCACTCACTCCTCTCCCTCTCTCTCTCTCTCTCTCTTTCTCTCCTGTGTGTGGCGTGCCGCGACAGCAGCGACGTGTACGCGTACCGACGGCGAATGCACGTACGTTCGCGTACGAGCGATGGACAGACGGCACACACGCGCGAATTGACACACGATTTGGCAGGCGGATGAGCGGATGAGCGAACGAGCGAACAAACGTGAGACCGGTTGTTCGCGCGCACCGCGCATACAATTCCCGTCAGCGATGCGTGCACACGTACTCACGTACTCTCTATCTCTCTTTTTCTTTCTTCCTTTCAACACCACCCACCCTCTCTCTCTCTCTCTCTCTCTCTTCTTTCTCTTCTGTCGACGCACTGCTACCGCGCGACGGCCACAAAACGCGCACTCTCTCGGCACCCGAGCGCGATCACGTTGGTCACACCGGACGCGATCTCCTCCTCGTTTGTCGCGTTGCTCTCACCGTTTCACGTTCCGTTCACAGGCGGAACATTCCTGGGACGCGACGTCGTGCTGCGGCGAACGAGCGTTGCCGTCGTTGCTGCTCCCGACGACGATGATGACGGCGACGGCGGCTGATCCCCGAGAGAAACGCGATGCCGCCAGCCAATGAGCGGAGGAGGGCGCGGGACGACGCTGCGGAGCGCTGCTGGTGAACAGCGAGGGGTGCGAGCGTCGTCGATGGGCCAACGTTTTTGGGACGGCTCGTACGCGATATACGGCGGCTGCCGCGGTGGAGGCGCGCGCGCGCGCGTGCGTTCTCGCGCTTTACGAACTCCTCACTCGCCTGTCTCTATAACGTCGCTTCCGCCGCGCGCGCGATTCCACGGCGAAGCGATTCTTTCCTCGGTCCCGGTTTTTTCGTGGCACTCGTTCACGCAGCTCGTACTCGCTCGTCTCGACCGCCCGTCGACGACGTATCTCGCGCGCCACCGTGCGGTGGGCCGACGACGACGACGATGTCGCGTTGCTCGGTCTCTGTCCGTCTGTCTGTCTGTCTGTCTGTCTTTCCGTTCCTCCTTCGCCGTGCGAGAGCGGCTATCTTGGCACCGCTTCTTGTCCCTCTCTCTCGCACACACGCGAGAGAACACCGCCGCCTTACTTCACACCGATTGACTCTGACTGACTGTCTGTCTGTGTCTCTCTCTCTCTCTCTCTCTCTCTCGTTTGCTTGCTCGCTCGCTCACTCACTTGTTCCTTCTTTCTCTCGTACTCTTTTTTTTTCCCCGCTGTCTTACTTTCCGTAACTGTCTGTCCTTGTCGCACTACGCTAATAATCTCGTCACTCCGGCTCCGGTTTCATTCGTCGGGCTACTCATCGCCGATATCTGGCAGGCTTCCGCGCTGCATCTTGCCGCGTTGCTGTCGCTTGCGCGCGATTCCACAATTACGAAGTAAGAGGATCGCGTGCGCGGTCTCGTACGCGTTTCTCTGTCTTTCTCACGTCGTCGTCGTACCTGTTCTCGACAGCGCTCGGACTCGACAGCGAATCCTCGTCGTCGTGCTGGTGGTCGTGGTCGCGGTCGCGGTCGCGGTCGCCGTCGTCGTCGCTGTCGCCGCCGTTCTCGTCGTTGTCGTATAGGGTTCTCGCGTTCACCGCCCGTAATCGGCACTCGGTCCGCCTCGCTCTTCTCTCGCTGTCTCTCTTTCTCTTGCGTTCTCCGGTCCGGTGTCCGACCAGAGGCGACACGCAGAGCTCTCTCGCAGCAGCCACCCGATATATCGCGGCGTTACGCGGAAAGTGCACGGGGAAAAGGGGCGCGCGCGCGCGCGCGTTCACGCGGCAATATCGAACGATACTCGGCGATCAGCGACGACTTCTCTACCTCGTCATGCACGGCAACACCACACCGACCATGGATTTTTCGATGCCTCCTCAGACATTGACCCGTTCGGGCGAGATCGGGCCAGTCGAGTGCGAACGGACATTGCCGAGTGTGTGACGTCAGTCACACCCCGCCCTGCCCCTTGCCGTACCGAACGGCTCCATCGAGTGCGCTGATGCTCCGTCGTCGATATCCCTAGCGCCGCCTGGTGTTTGTACAGTGACAATTTCGTTGTACCGCCATTATTCGAACTCCAGGAGATTGGACAAATTGTCTGTGATTGTGGTGTGAAACGATAAACGAGAGTCTCTCCGTGGGTTATAAAAGAATCGTGTATGGAGACGATACCGTCTGTGATCAACAAATTTGCTACGAGGAATATTGTTACGTATATTTTACGAAGTACCATATATTTTAAGAGCGTTGTCTGCTATAATTAACAATTCAATGTGAAAAATAAAGTTTTACATATAATATGGAACTTGTTCATTAGTATTTATTATTGTTATCTTTACTTAAAATCAAAATAATCGTTAGATCGTACGAAAATATGATAAGATTCCCAAGTTACTAAGAATTAAATTTTAAGTTAATTTTCACTTGGTTCAGGCAAATTTATTATGCAAGATGTTTTCCACCGTGTAATTTTGTAATAACAACCTTGAGTCAAAATTGTAGAAATTGTAGAAGTATAAATTTTGACACTAGTCGGGAAACGTTTTCTTCTTCTTTCTGTAATTTTCTAAAGCGCAGTTTGCTTCAAATTCTTTATTTTCAACCGCTTGTAAAAGTTTGGATATTATCTCAGCAATTTTCGCTCCAGAAAGATCAAAATCAAGACAACAAACAAATTCTGCAAGCTGCATACGCTATTCGTAGAGGTAATAAGAATAAGTCACTAGACGATCGATATCTCGATATCTCTCGGTGTCGATAAACATCGACTACCGTCCGTTCTACAAACGTCGATTAAATTTTAATGCGAGTTCATTCTCTATTTAGACAAGGACTTAAACCCAGGTTGATATTTAACTGACGTTGATGCAAGCGGTCGTATGCAAATTGGTCTGGTATGAAATGAAATATTGTCAATTATCGTTGGAACATGAAGCGGTAGAAATGGTCACGTCGTGTTTGGTACGCATGTAAGAAACGCACGTCGATTGGATAGACGCGATATACGGTAAGTTGTCATTTCGCGTTATTCATATCGCGTCGTTCTCGTCTTTTCGACAGATATTCTTGTGGAGATTCGCGTTCGCATTTTACTTCGCAGCTTCGAGTAGCACTATCCATTGCTGCGGAACCTAAATTCCTGCGGAATGTCTCTGTCTCTCGTTGCTCGGATATTATTCAATTGTTATCGTTACTTCAGACGCGATCGCTTGTCTCTCTCTCTCTCTCTCTCTCTCTCTCTCTCTCTCTCTCTCTCTCTCTCTCTCACGCGAGCTTCAGTTTCGAACGTTGCTAAACAAGTGCGAGAACAATTAACGGAATAAATTTTTCCGACAAATCTATTTGTCTCGTTCGCGTCTCGCCGTTTTAGCTTGGAATCTTTTGGAGTACTTTCTGTACTCCAGAGTATTGTCGACGCACCGGTAGCTTTAGAATGAAAAGGATAGACAATGAGAAAAGGGACAAAATGCGGAAGACAAAAGGCAGATATGTACGGATTTAACGTGTATCGATGCGTGATTGTTTAATGTTCGATTGTTTCGGGCTAAAGTGTCTTTGCAAATCGTCATTCGTATCGTTACGAAAATGCTTCCATTTGCGTTTCGATATTGAGTTAACGAGCACGAATTCTTCTCGTGTCACGAGAGATGGCGCCACCAGTATGCGAGGTCGCCGCGATTTCGAATTTGAATTGGTTGAGATAGCGCGATGCGTTGATTCGATGTAGTACCATCGTCCTGGCTGGCGGTTATGTCTCGTGTCGTTGTGATTTTTAATCGTTGTGTATGAAGTGAAAATGAGCCGTGAAAATGCGGGTTTTAACACGCCAGGCATCCTGGACCTTGACAGATCGTGTTATCGATGGTATCGACGTATCTTCGCTTCTCGGGAAACGTTGATTATCCACAGGTAATCGCTCCCGATCACGAAATGGTCTCAAAATGGCGGTGCTTGTATTACCGAACGGTCGGAATTTTCTCAATTTCGCTCATTTGATTTTCTTACGTTTGTTGCGATTGTTGCTTAGAATCGTCCGCCTGCGTGGATTGTTTCACTTTAGAGATTCGTTTTTTTTGCAGGTATGCACCCGCGTGATTCACGACGTACATGGTTTCGTGAAACTCGAGAAATTCACAATTTTGGCCGTGTTTCATGTGCGGGATGTGCTCGCGACTCAGATGGCAACATTTTCAGGTTAATTTTTTGTCTTTGTCTCACTAATAAATATACCATACTTTGTTCTTCCCTAGATTAAGTTCTCTTTAAATAATCTATGATTCGTGACGGATGATATGATATATATGATTATTTAATTGAAAATATTCGGATAGTCAGAAACACAAGAGATGAATGTTTGTATATTTATAATACATTCTAAACTTGCAAACATTGCATGCATCGTATGATGCATAAACTCATAGGATATTTCCTCGAACTCTGTCGAGATATAGATTTACAGATAGATGATTAGATTCATAGATCTATATATCAGTTTATAGATAATTTAAACAATAGATTATTGAAGGAACGCCTCAGAGGCAAACATCGCTCGCCTACGCGAAAAATACACACACACCAACGATCGGTCGTGTTTACATTCGCCGCGAGCCCAACGTGACGAGACGCGTTCATTACCCGCTGTCGCGATTCATAGTAAACACTGTAACATAATATTTCGAATAACAAAGTTTTTTAACATATTACGTAGCAATTACATAATGCGATGAATTCTGCTCAACGAGGAGGACGATAAGAATAATTTTTCTGTTCATTTCTTTTTTTCAGCTAATTTGCGCGGTTATGGAGTCGGAACATTGCGAAACGCACGGAAAATTACCGACGACGGGCGAGTGTCCGTTGGTGCACGGGAGTGATAAGGTAGAAATTTCAGTGACGTATTGCCGAATGAATCCACCAGGGGCGCAACGCGCTGGCGCAGACTTTGCCCTTCTCCTCCACTTCCGCCGGCTGTTCTCAGGCAGCCGGCAAAGCGCGCGCTACGGTTTAAGTTGCATTTTAGATGCGAACGAACGCGCATCGTTTTGGGCTCGCGGTTCAAATCGCGGTCACGCGGCACGTCGTCTCGCGATCAAGCCTCAAGGACGATCCGAGTAAGGCTTGAGTGATTCTTCGTCGTCATCATCCTCGTCGTCATCGACGTTATCATCTTCGTCGACGTAATCATCCCATTGTCTTCGTCTTCGCCGACTGACTGATCCTGCTGGCTGTGACTGCGCGACGCGAGTCGTCGGTAAGTTTCAAACTTTCCCTTTTCTTTCTGTCGTATAATTTTACCGAAGAATTATCTCGGTTGTGGCGTGGCGCAATTTTCGCGAGAAACACGAGAGTCACCGACATGAATGTTTTGGCTCGTTTTATTCACGTTTTAGCTTATATTTCTCGCGGTTTGGAGCAACAAAATATATGTGGCGCGTGTCGGGATATGATCGATCATTTTTCTCAAGTGAATGGGTTTATTGGCAAAGTTAGAGTTATTGACTTTTCCTTATTTTTTATCACGATCGACTTCTCTCCCTGTTTTTAATTTTTGTTATCTTATGTTCGCTTTGTTCTAATTTTATATATTATAAATTAGCAGTTGAGATACATGGAATTATATTGAAAATTCGCTATGTTGCTGTTTATGTTTTATTTGTTCAATTTTCATCTGTTAAATGTTTATCTGGATACACTATAGTATGACGAAAGGTATATATACGATATTTAAAAATATCACAATAAAAATCCAAAAGATTTGAATTAAGATTTCTTACTTGAAAAACATTTTAAATCAAATATTTATCGGAGTATATGAAATGTTCGGCTCAGTCGGTTATCGAGAAAAAAATGTCCTCTACAGAAGCAGCTTTACGGAAAGCCTCTCGTTTTCGATCGTTGTCCAACGCGTCTGACATTTTCACGGGGAGAACCCACAGAAAACCGGTCGACCCTACAAAGAACCTAGATCGCATAGAATCGTGGTTGATCCAGGCATACCTTTACCTTTTGAACGTTGAATTTGAAGGATCAAAGAACACGGCGCAGGTAGTAAAAGAAGTACGATCCACACACAATTCAAACTGTGAACACGAGCCTTTCTTCAAGTATTCGATTCTTTTCCAGTCGTTGCAAGACGGAATGTCTCGCGATCATTATTTCCCGATCGAATTTTGCACCATGCCACGTCGCGTTGTGCTTATAATGTTTATCTGTGAATTTGCGTTTACATTGGCTGTTTATGTAGATATATGAGAATATCAATATTCGCGAACGAATACTATCGCGAATAATATCGCCGTCTCTCATTCGGCGATTAAACTCCGACGGGGCGACGCGGTGACAGCGGCGGCGTCGATTAAAAGCAAAATCCTTTATTTCCGTGAATTCATCCGGCAAAATACATACATTGCTTGTACATCCACGTTAGAAATTAATTGCGGCGCGAAAGCAAATACCCAACGGACGCGGACGGAAGTGGGGATGGGGGAGGGGGGAAGGAAGCGGGTAGCTTTAAATTTTTACGGGAGAAACGTACACGCCCCACGGCACGAACAATGTTGTACAACATTTATCAGGGTTGATAAATATTTCGGTGTGAGGGCGGGCGCCGTTAAAAATATCGTCGAAGGTAAACTCCCTCGAGTTGAGGATTGGGGCGTTAAAAATGCATAGGTTATCAAGCGACGACTGCGGCAGCGTTATATCTTTGTCAGAGTTCGTCAGCGTGAATTAGCCTCATCCTTTCGGTGTGCGCAAGGCGGTCAAGTTTTAGCGAGGAAACCGTTCCTCTTCTTCTCTCTCTCCTTCTTTCTCCCCTTCTTTCTCTCTTTCTCTCTCTCTCTCTCTCTCTCTCTCTCTCTTTCTCGGTCTTTCGCACGACCTTCTTCCGACATTTTTAACGAAGAGTGTAAAGTAGAGAAAGAGAGAGAGAGAGAGAGAGAAAGAGAGAGAGAGATAGAGAGAGAGAAAGAGAGAGAGAGAGAGAGAGAAAAGGGAGGAGGGCTTTAACCTGAAACGAGAGAGGACAACGCAGAAAAATGTCGCGACGCGACGATCCTCTCTCGAAGTCGCTTTCTCAAAGCTAATGTCTTTATTTCGGATTTTATTCCGCGAGATATTCGCAATTTTTCGATGTTTGGAAAATGATCACCGCGGACGGTTCGAACTTTCGTGTCAAGATACACGATTCCTGTCGACGGGCTAACATCGTGTAATATTGATATTGTCAATTTCAACATTTATCAGCCGTGATGCAATAAGTATTTGAGGTGAGTACATATGATACAATAAATATATATTTGAATGGGTATATATTTTGTATATTTATATGTGCGGAAAATGAACCAACGATTGGGATTTACAATTTATTGATTCATAGAATGCAAAAAATTTTTTGAGTGAAAAAACTTCACTCGGACAAGGTAGCTTTTTCGCGAATATTAAACACCGAGTTTAATCGCAAAGTAGGCCGATTCTTTTCTCGATATTAAATATTGAGTTATGAATATCAATTACCTTTGCTCTCAGGCGCGAAGTAATCATATTTGTCGTCGCTGAAAGGTCGAAGAAATCGCCATGCGACTACCTTTCGTGATTCTTCCGCCCGCATTAATACCGGCTCTAATTAATAATATCGCCTTTCAGTGCGTACTTTTAACGGTGGCGTCGCGCTTAGAAGCTGCGTGCATGACCTCACAGATTTATGCGCCGGCAATAATTTTACAATGATACAACGACGAGAAAAAAACGGAGCATGAATCTCGGCCGCTATATTTTTTTCATTTCTAACGCGGTCGGTCGTTAATTTGCCTGATGTCTCGTTATGTCCTTGTTATGTGTCTTCAATAGTGTGAAATCATCAGACTGTCTGACCCCGTTATAGAATCCTTCTAAACTAAATTCGAGTACCTGATGTAAATACATAATAACGTCGATCGATTTTCCGTGTTGGCTTCGCATAATGGATACTAATACGACACAGCGGCGATGCGCGACAAACGCGCGGGGGCTGAAACATTTTCGCGAAATATTTTCACGATAATAAATGGTCGCAACGACTAATCATCTCGCAACGACGAGACTCGATCTTTGTGTCTCGATCGACTTTTCGCGACGGCTTCTGCCTCGTGTAATGAATGCTGATGCATCGATGACAGCGTGAGGAATAAAAGATCGGGGACATTTCTCAATTTCTCAAATGTCCTCGCGAGGGAGGAAGAGAGAAAGAGTGTGTATCCTTCAGAGATATTCCTCGCGAGCGACTTTCCGACTCCCGACGAGCGTTCCCTCGCATCGTGCATTCCGGATTTTCGAGAAAATTATCTGTCGCCGACGTGAAATATTTGGCGACGGCTTCCGTCAAATTGGCTAAACCGGCATGATAAGATCGTAGAGTTGTCGTTCGGAAAGTATGTCGCGGTGAGTCACGTTTATCCAAGTATTTGACGGTGAAGTTGCGTCCGATTTTCGAAATAGGTATCGTGCGGAGAAATAGCCAGGTAAAGGCAATCGGCGAAATCGATTCTCTCGCGGCAAAATAACAGCGGGAGATACCGCACCGGCCGCTACTCTTTCAGCGGAAATCAAAAACGAAGCTGCTCGAAACAATCAGGGAATACTGGTTGCCATGATACTGGTCCCCATATGTGTGTGTGTGTGTGTGTGTGTGTTTATGTGTGTACGTATAAAGGCAAATATATTTCAAGTCTTATACACTCGCGTCTATTTTTGATCAATGTATTAACGTCGCTCTAAAAAAGACCGCTCCTTCGGAAAGTGCCGTTCGGATAAATATTTAAGGGACCGAATAATTCCTTTAGTACTTAATCTCATTTTGGAGGGACTCATTTATACTTCTTTTTCTTTCGCTTTTATATTTAATTTTTCTGTATCGAGCTATTCAACGCACGTGCATTATATGTCGGAACGTTGTATTATATTATAACTGTGTCCATTCCTGCACTTTCAAGATTTTCAACCACGGGCTGTTGCTGCCGATGCTGCCGCCGCTCAGCAAAACTATTATCGCGCGCGGTTCCGCGTAATTATTTCGAGCAGCGTGTATGAATCAACAATGAGCTATGACCACGCGATTTCTATGCTATAACGCTATTTAACAACATTGGCATTAGCTGTCGTATTCATAAAGTCATTTGCATTTCGCGTTCGTCGAGTAGGGTGATTTAAATGCTCTTTGACTAACATATCAAAGCCGTGTAGCGACCGGGCCGAGAGTATATATTGCGCTTAGGCACGGTAATCCGTTTCAGAATGGTCGTTGGCGCTAATCTCGCCTGAATTCCCACTCAATTTCTGATCGGTCGCGCAAAAGCGCAGCCTGCGCCCCGTCCGCTCGAGCGCGCTCGTGCGCGCGCAAATTAAACAACTGATTCTGTCGTATATATTAGTTAATAGCGTCACATCGGCATTCGCGGAAGCACGCTGGATATATTGGAGTAAATCCATATAGCGCGCGCGTGCGTTCGATTCGACTCGACTGACAATAATGGTGCCGCTGGAGATGGGTGATGTCCGATCGATTAACCCGTTAAAAGCCGGTAATTATAATATAAAGAATCGTGTTGTTGTACTTCGCGTTGAGCTGCATCGGGTTACATCGCGATATCGAACCGACAATGGACTTTATATTACGCGTATGAGTGTACGTAACGGGTAATAACGAAAGAAACGAATGGTGAAAATTAATAGGCAATTTACCGTTCAAGGAAGACCGAGCTATTATCCGGGAATAACTATCGCTCTCGCGAGAGAACGTGACATATTTCTCTCTCTCTCTCTCTCTCTCTCTCTCTCTCTCTCTCTCTCTCTCTCTCTCTCTCTCTCTCTCTCTCTCTCCCTACCTCTCTTTTTCTCTCGCTTGCTTTCACGCCTTTTACGCGGGATCATTTATTCATAAGTCTATTACGCCACCGCGAGATATCGCGCTCGCGTATGTATAACGCCGTGCGCTAATTTATCGGGAAGCAACTCGGCTCTTTCACGAGACGGTGACACGTATTCTTCTCGCTCCACTTTGTCCCTCCAAATTACTATCGGATCATTGATTAACGATTTTTCCACGAAGAGCGAGGATAAGGTTGATAGGTGGCCTCAATGGAGAAATGTGCATTTTTTGCAATGGACGAATCAGCTTTCCGTCGCAATATCTCGTTCCAAGCCTGTGCTTCTCTAAGCTGTCGAATTATCTCGTACACGAACAAATGAAACGCATCACGATAACAGCAGCGGAGA